AATGGATCTCAGTCAATACCAATGTACTGATACTGGTTCATTAATGGTAATAAATGGGAGCACCTGGGTGGCTCAGTGCGTTAAGCTTCTGAATCTTTTATTTTTTAAAGATTTTATTTATTTGTCAGAGAGAGAGAGAGAGAGAGAGAGAGAGAGAGAGGGTGCACAAGCAGGCAGAGAGGCAGGCAGAAGCGGAGAGAGAAGCAGGCTCCCGGCTGAGCAAGGAGCCTGATATAGGACTCGATCCCAGGACCCTGAGATCATGACCTGAGCCAAAGGCAGCGGCTTAACCCACTGAGCCACTCAGACGTCCCTAAACCAAAGCATTTCTTAAAAAAAAAAAAAAAAAAAAAATTGTAATAGACGTTCCATATTCACCTGAGATGTTATTAATGGGGGAAACTGTGTGCCAGGAGAGGGGGTCTGTGGGACCTGTACTAACCCTGTACTATCTGCTTAATTTTCTGAAAATCCAAAACCATTCTGTAAAATGTTGTCTATGAATTCCAATATTTTCCAGTATTGGAAATACTGGAAATAATTCCAGTATTGGACCTGGCGACAGGGAACCCTGACAGCTTATCCCTGATTAGCCTGAGTGGTCCCAGACAAGCCCCTTGCCCCTCTGAGCCCGTTTCCTCTTCCTTAAAAGGTGGCTCAGTCAGTTAAGCCTCTGCCTTCTGCTCAGGTCAGGATCCCAGGGTCCTGGGATGAAGCCCCTGGTTGGGCTCCCTACTGGGGAGGGGGGTGTCTCCCTCTCCCTCTGCCCCTCCTGCTCACGTTCTCTCTCTCACTCTAATTAATAAATAAAATTTTAAAAAAGATTTTTTTTAAAGGAGCGCATTGGGCCGGAATATCTCTAAAGCCAGCCTCTGCCAGTGACGACCTTGGACTTGAACGACATTTCGGAAGGAGAGTGACAGTCCGGGTGTCTCAGGAAACAGCCTCATGAGGCAAGTTCGGGGGATGTGCACCGCCCCTGGTTCAGTTCCTAGAACCCCCGGAAGGTCTAGAAAATGCCCAGTCTCCCGCCTGGGTCGCCTTGATGGGCCAATTCCAACTTCCTCCAAATACCACGCGGGAGGCGACAGCAACCGAAGCACTAAACTGCCTCTGGTCCCTACCAGCGGGCGGGGGTTTCTTCCCTCCTTGGCTCGGCCTAGAAACTCATATTTTATTCATGAAAATTGGAGGCCCTGGGAGGCCTCGGCATAAACAGGATGTAAATATTTGCGGGCGGTGGGGGAGAGGTGGTATTGGAGCAGGGGCTGCCCTGAGCGGGGACCTCGGGGCGCCTCGCAGTGGGGACCCGCCCACCTCTAGCTCCACCGTCGGTCGGGTGTGGGGGGCATGTGCAGGCTGCACCCCGGCTTGGAGACCCAGTTTGGGACTCCAGTACCCTCCAAGTGAGACGGGGTGTGGCTTAACCTTCTGGTGTCCCCCCCTAGCCCAAGCCATCCCCCTGATCAACAGCGTTCCTTCATCCCGCCTTTCTCAGCTGGGGACTCGGACAGGCTTTCTGGCACTTGCAGGGGTGCCTAGCCCCCGCTCCAGCCCCTCACCTGCTCTCCCTGCACCTGGACACCCTTTGTCTCAGCTCTGCGGAGCTCTGGCCGTCCCCAAGGCTGTACCTTTGCTTCACTCGCTGCTGCTCCTGCGGTGAACATCTTTGAGCTTTGACTTGTCTTGGAGACCCCTCCCCAGGTTCGCGTGGACTACACCCTTTTCTGGAACCTGGGGCCAGCAGCACCCCTGGGGCTCTCCCAGGAGAATAACTCCCGCTCCCTTCTCAGGGCCTGGCCTGGGCATCCCTTCCTCCAAGAAACTGTTCCTGATGTTTGTCCTCAAAGTCTGGGCTCAGAGCCAGTCTGGTCTTCCCACGGCATGTGCCCTGGGGAGCAGAAGCCCCTTCCTCGGCTGTATCCCACATGCCGACAGGGCCCTGACTTTGGTCCCGTTCACGAAATACTTGTTGAATAAATGAACGGGGGCGTGGATGGGGGGACGGAATCAAGGCATGGCCTGATTGCCACCTGGGTCTCTGGGCATCTGTCTCTTGCTCATGTCACATCCCCCCCCCGCCCCACCCCACAGTCTGTACTACCTCCCCACACCAAGGACGCTCCCTGGGGCAGAATAAGCCATAGTTCTGGTGGAATCTTTGAGGTTATCAAGGATTTCCAAAGTTATACCCTACACCCCACCACCTCTGGTGTGGGGCAAATATTTCAATCTGGGAGCCGCACCTTCTTGGAACTGATGCCCTTGGGGCTTCCAGAAGAATGCGGTGTGCAAGTGGGCAAGCTCAGACGAGGCTTCCCTTCCAGATGCCTTCTTCAGATAGGGACACACCCATGCTTGGCTATCTGTGGGATTCAGGGAAAAAAAAAATACACCCCCAAGTTGGACGCAAGAGAAGCACCCCATTTGCAGTGGAGGTGGTGCAGAGATGGTAGGCGTGACCTCACCCGGAGAAGAATGTCCTGGGGGCACTGGTACAGAAAGAACCGTCAAACCGCCTAGGTGAGGTTTTTGTCCCCCCCCCCCGCAAAGATTTTATTTATTTATTTATTTGACAGTGAGCACAAGCAGGCAGAGAGGCAGGCAGAAGCAGAGAGAGAATCAGGCTCCCCACTGAGCAAGGAGCCCAAAGCAGGGCGATCCCAGGACCCCGAAATCATGACCCCAGCCGAAGGCAGCAGCTTAACCCACTGAGCCACCCAGGCGCCCCTAGGTGAGGTTTTTAAAAATGCAGCCAGTCGACCCCTAATTGATTCTGGGTGGACACATAGTTTTTCTCTGTTGTAGGGCTTCTTAGCTTAAAGTGGGCTCCCGGATCTAGCTGTCCAAATGCTCCATGACACAGAGAACCCGAGAGGAAGGAAAAGAAAGTAAGTCCCACAGAGCAGCCTAAAGGACCTGGGCCAGCACAGTTCTGCCGGGAGAGTCCCCACACCCCACTCACACTGCGGTCCCTGCGTTTATCCCTCTATTGGGGTCTTAGGGCAGAGGTTCGTTCCTGCTGTGTGTGCAGGCCCCCAGAACTACGATGTCCGAACCTTTGTGGTGCCTCCCCTCCCCCAGCCTCAGCATCTGTGTCCCACGCTCTGGGTGATTCTATGCAGTCAGGCTGGAGAACCCCTGACCGCTGCTTCCTGAGACCACATTTGTGTCCTGCTCCCAGCTGAAGCCGAACCACCCTTGACGCAGCAAGACTTCAGATAGGATGGTTTACTCCAGGGGCGCCTGGCTGGCTCAGTCAGTGGAACTGCAACTCTTGATCTCAGGGTTGTGAGTTTGAGCCCCACGTTGGGTATAGAGATTTTTTTTTTTTTTTAATTTTACTTATTTATTTGACAGAGAGACAGATCACAAGTAGGCAGAGAGGCAGGCGGGCTGCGGGGGGAAGCAGGCTCCCAACTAAGAAGAGAGCCCAGATGTGGGGCTCGATACCAGGACCCTGAGATCAGGATCTGAGCTGAAGGCAGAGGCTCAACCCACTGAGCCACCCAGGCACCTCTGGGCATAGAGATGTCTTAAAAATAAAATCTGAGGGGCGTCTGGATGGCTCAGTGGGTTGAGCATCTGACTGATTTCAGCCTGGGTCATGTCCTCGGGTTCCTGAGATGGGTCCTGAGATGGTCCTCAGGGCTGGGCTCTGAGCCGGGTGTGGAGCCTGCCTAAGATTATTTCCCTCCTTCTCCCTCTGTCCCTCCCCTTGCTCGCATGAGAAATAAATAAATCTTAAAAAAATAAATAAATAAAGCGTTGCTAGCAACTGACAAACCGCTCTCCCAAAGAGCTTTACAGTTTGCCCAGAACAGAAAAACAGACAAACAGATAAGTCACGGAAAAGAAATAGAAAAAGTCAATGCATTTATTAAAAGGTGCTTATCAAGAAGGTGAAAATATGTTATATTGGCTTAACATGATCTATGTTAACTAACTGGAACTCAAAAAGCTGGGGCGCCTGGGTGGCTCAGTGGGTTAGGCCTCTGCCTTCCACTCAGGTCATGATCTCAGGGTCCTGGGATTGAGCCCCGCATCGGGCTCTCTGCTCTGTGGGGAGCCTGCTTCTCCCTCTCTCTCTGCCTGCCTCTCTGCCTACTGGTGATCTCTGTCAAATAAATAAATAAAATCTTTTAAAAAAATAAATAAAACTTAGAAAGTGAACATTAAAGCAGTAATGACATATACATACATGTTATATGTTACACACCATGTATGTTACAGCTAACATGAGCACATGTGTGTAGATCTGCACACCACATCAACACCCAGGCAGAAACATGCACTCCTGGGGAGCCTGGCCAGCTCTGTCGATGGAGCACGCAATTCTTGGTCTTGGGGTTGTGAGTTCTAGCCCCACAATGAGCGCAGAGATGACTTAAAAACAATAAAAAATCTTTTTTTTTTTGAAGATTTTATTTATTTATTTGTGGGGGGAGTGAGAGAGAGAGCACAAGCAGGCGGGAACAGGAGAGGGAGAAGCAGGCTCCCCACTGAGCAGGGAGCTCGACAAGGGGCTCAGTCCTGGGACCCTGGAATCATGACCTGAACCAAAGGCAGATGCTTAACCGACTGAGCCACCCAGGTGAACCAAAAATAATAAAAAATCTTGAAAAACAGAAATCGGCACTCCTATCTCGCACCAGCCTCTGCCAGAGGGGTAAGTGGACAGAAGTGGAATGAGCTGGGTGCTCTGGTCCCCCCTTGTCCCTCAGCAGATGATGCAGCCACGGAAGGCCAGGGCAGACATGCCGACGAGGACAGGAAGAAGGGCCAGCCCGGATGACTGGACAACTGGAACAGAATTAGAGTAAGGAACCCAAACAGCCTAGCGGTCCAGGCTCCGCAGTGTGCGCCAACAGCCTGGCAGTGCTGCTCGTACCCCTGGGATCAGGCCCACACAGCAGCACGCAGATCCCATGGTCCCCGGGGCGCTAGGAAAAATTCTGTGCCCTTCCTTTTCCCCAAGAAGGCAAGGAAGCGTGTGGAAGCAGTTTTCGAAGTTTATCCATTATGAACATTTAACAAAATAGCTAAAAGGACAAACTTTGCATATAGAAGGCACTTAAACAGAACGGGTACTTCCCAAGAAGGACACGTTTGCTCAGGCATGATGGATTTAAGCTTGGGCTGGGGTTCCTTTGAAGACCTAGATCGCAGGGCATCTCCCTGTGGGGCCTGGCACTCCGTCAGGTCTCCAGGTGTCGCCTGTCACTTGGGGAACACCTGTACACCTGCCAGGATTCTCGAGCCATGAAGCTCCTGTCAGACTCACTTTGCGCCACCTGTTGTGGTCAGAATAGTGCTCCCAGAACAGTGCTCCCAGGGGGATGGTCCCTTGTGAACCTTTCCACGCGGGAGTCGCGTCCCGGCTCCAGAGTGAGGACGGTCGTTGTCAAAGGGGCTTCCCTCTCTGGGACGCCTGGGGAGAGAGGCCAGGCGGAGGTTACCCAGTGACCTCGTTAACCAGAATGACAGCAGCAAGCCACACACTGAGAGACACATGCCAGACATGGGGAGAGACTCCAGGAGAGGCGGAGACAGGCCCAGAGGGAGGGTCCTTCTGGTAGGTGTGCCTCCTCTATGGACAGAGTAATGACCTTAACCAAGGCCCCAGGAAGCTCCTGGGGAGGCCACGATGTCCTCGGAGGGGCAGAGATGACAGCAGCTGCTCAGACGCAGTGGGGAGCACAGCTCTGGGTCAGGCCACCAGGCTGGATCCAGGCTCCACCTCCCACTCCCCAAAAGACCTGGGCTGCCAGGTGCCTCAGTTTCTATGTCTGTAATAGGGATGACAACAGCCTCCCAGAGGGCCGTATGGGGTCCAGGTAAAGCCCTTTACCCAGGCCAACTGCTAGTTACTATTATTGAACCTCAGCAGGGCCTGGAGACGGTCACCAGCCCCACATTCACTCCGGGGACAGCAGGCAGAGAGGCAGCTGTCCAAGGTGGGGAGCTGGGATGCTTGAGCAGCCATCTGTGGCCCAGCCACATATCTCAGTGGCCCGGGGTTTTCTCATGTGCAATAATAATAGTACTTGACCACTGAGTGGCACTTTATTTTTTATTCTTCTTTTAAAGATTTTTTATTTATTTGAGAGAGAAAGAGCACGAGTAGGAAGAGGGGCAGAGGGAGAGGGACACGCAGGCCCCCCCACTGAGCGTGGAGCCCGATGGACACAGGGCTGGATCCCAGGACCCGAGATCATGACATGAGCTGAAGGCAGACACTTAACCGACTGAGCCACCCAAGCGCCCCGCAATTTGACATTTTGAATTAGAATCATAAAGTTCCCTTGATAGACACTAGTATGTCAAGTTCTCTTAAGCATTTCAAATCCTTAAAAGACCAAATATGTAATGATTATACCTGAGTGCTACGGAAAAATATTAATGTAAAATTTTGACTGACTTCATCATGTCTGTAATTCTGAAACTCCCCGGGATTATTCATTTATTCCAAAAATATTTCTCAATGACACCTGGAACTAAAAGAACATTGTGCGTCAACTATACTCAAAAAAAAAAAAAAAAAAAAAGAAGGAAAGAACCCTTATTCTTATTGCCAAAAATTATCTATCTACCTATCATCTCCGTCTGCTGAATGCTGCCATTATTCAAGGCACTGCCACAGCAGTGGCTAATATGGAGAAAAATCCTTGCCATCATGAAACATACTCTAACGGGGGACACAATACACAATACATACTTAATACATATTTATCGGCTAGAGTTACATGTTATAGAAGAAAAGGGAAAGCAGGGCAGGAAAAGGGACAGGTGGAAGGAAGGGAACAGGGAAGCCTCAACGAATAGGTAACACGGAGAAGAGACCAGAATGAGGTGAGAGAGCAAGCCACGTGCACATCTGAGGGAAGAGCATTCTAGGCCAAGGAAATAGCAAGTGCAAAGGTCCTGAGGTTGGGATGTGCTAGGCCCTTCTCACTGAGTACAAGGAAGCCTTTGTGCCTGGAACAGTGTATGAGGGCAAGGGTGGTAGAAAGGGAGGTCAGGGAGAGGGCCCTGTGGAGGTAAAATGTACGAGGCCCTGTAGGGTTTGGGTTTTTCCCTCTACCTTGACACTGAATATTCTGTGAGGATCTGCCTGGAGACCTACTCCGTAAGGTCATTCTAATGACCCTAATTAAACTGAAGAGTCTCTTGCTTGGAACCTCGCAATTCTTTTTCTATTTCTACCAGTCTGTTAAATGTCTGCGTCTTGATTTCCGCTCAGGTCGTGATCTCAGGGTTGTGCAATCAAGCCTGGGTGGTGGAACCTGCTTAAGATTCTCCCTCTCCCTCTGCCCTTTCCCACCCCCACCTGCTTGTATGAGCTCTTAAAAAAAAAAAAAGTACAAAAGCATGTAAAACAGGCTCAGGGCTCAGACCACCTAGGGTAGATCCAAGAGATCCCCCTACTCACCAAGAGATCTTGGGGACAAAGCTTGACCTCTCTGCCTTGGGTTCCTCTTCTGTAAAGTGGGGATAGGAGAGAGAAAAGGAAAGAATAGGGTAGAGAACTTTAGCGATATCCATAATGGTTTTCTCTTTTTTTTTTTTTTTAGATTTTATTTGTTCATTTGACAGAGAGAGACACAGCGAGAGAGGGAACACAGGCAGGGGGGGTGCGAGAGGGAGAAGCAGGCTTCCTGCCCAGCAGTGAGCCTGATGTGGGGCTCAATCCCAGGACCCTGGGATCATGACCTGAGCCGAAGGCAGACGCCTAACAACTGAGCCACCCAGGCGCCCCTATAATGTTTCTTTTTTAAAAAAAGATGCAAAATTTTTTTTTTTGATATTTTATTTATTTGACACAGAGATCACAAATAGGCAGAGAGGCAGGCAGAGGAGGAAGCAGGCTCCCTGACAAGCAGAGAGCCCGTTGCGGGGCTCGATCCCAGAACCCTGAGATCATGACCCGAGCCGAAGGCAGAGGCTTCAACCCACTGAGCCACCGAGGCGCCCCAAGATGCAAAATTTTAACATCTGTCTTGGTGGATGGGTATATGAATGTTGATATTATTTTCGGTATGTTTCACGTGTTTTATAATTTTAAATTTAGAGATAAAAAGATCACAAATCAAAATAAACTCTTTGGGGCACCTGGGTGGCTCAGTGGGTTAAGCCTCCACAGGTCATGATCTCAGGTTCCTGGGATCGAGCCCCTTCTCCCTCTGCCCCTCCCCCTTCTTGCACTCTCCTTCTCTCTCTCTCTAATAAATAAATCTTTACAAACAAAAACAAAGACTGGGCCTTGCTGCTTTTACCTAATTTCTCCTGTTCTGCACAGTCTGGCCCCGGCAGACCCCCTTCCTCTGCAGCCCTGATTCGCGCTCACCCTGGATCCTCTCGTCATGTCCTTCAGGCCTTGCCAGGCCACAGGGATGCCGTGGTGACCAGGAGGGAGGGAGCTCCTGTTCTCGAAGAGCTGTCATTCTGGGGGGCGGAAACGAATAGTAAATAAGGCAATAAATCCAGATAATCGTAAGGACAATACAGAAATAAACGGGTTCTTGGGGGAGAGAGAGCAATGGAAGACAGGGAGGGCATTGGGGGCCACCTTCCAGGCAAAGCCAACAGGCACTCAGCTCTCAGATATGGGTTCAGATCTCGGGTCAAACGCCCCCTCCCCAGCAAAGCCCTTTCTGAACTCTCAGGTGGCGTGGTACCCCACCGATGCTCTCCTTCCAAGCATTCAGTGCCCTTTCCAACACTCAACCGTGATTATAATTAAATCGACATAGGACTGGCTGCTTGGTGCCTGTTTCCCTCCCTACAATTTAAGCTCCTTGGGGGTGGAAGCTTGCCCTGTCCACACATCCCGTGCCCATTGTGGTGACTGGAGGCACTCAGTCAATATTTGTTAAAGATGGGAACCCAGAGTCGGGCTGAATGATTTCTACCAGATTCCAAATTCCGCAAACATCAACAGAGCAATTCCCGAGGACAAATGTCACCCAAATAACAATCCTTATGGTGTAGATATGTTTTAGGATATATGCTTTTTTACTACATAAGGAGCCTTTTTTTTTTTTTTTTAAGATTCTATCTACTCACTTGACAGAGATCACAAGTAGGCAGAGAGACAGGCAGAGAGAGAGGGAGGAGGAAGTAGGCTCCCCGCTAAGCAGAGAGCCCGATGCGGGGCTCAATCCCAGGACCCTGAGATCATGACCTGAGACGAAGGCAGAGGCTTAATCCACTGAGCCACCCAGGTGCCCCCGCATCTAACAATTTGATGGGAATGCTCTGGCTTTTGGTAAAAGTTTTTTTTGTTTGTTTGTTTGGTTGGTTTTTTTTTTTTTAGAGAGAGAGAAAGCAGGGAGGGGGCAGAGGGACAGAATCTCAAGCAGATTCCACGGCCAAATGGAGCCCGACATAGAGCTCGATCTCATGGTTGTGAGATCATGACCTGAGCTGAAATCAAGAAGAGTCAGAGGCTTAACCGAGTTAGCTACCCAGGCACCCCAAGGACTTTTTTTTTTTTTTTAAGATTTATTTATTTGACAGAAAGAAAGAGAAAGAGAACAAGCAGGGGGAGTAGCAGGCAGTGGGAGAGGGAGACACAGACTCCCCGCTGAGCAGGGAGCTCAGTGCAGGTCTCAATCCCAGGACCCCGGAATCAGGACTTGAGCCAAAGGTAGATGCTTAACCCACTGAGCCACCCAGGAGTCCCAAGGATTTTGTTTTCTGTTTTCTCTGCTTTCCATGTCCTTCCTCTTTTGTATAACTAATTACCCTCGTGCGGTAAGAGTCAGGGGGCTTTGCCTAAGTGCAGATTCAATTTCCTGGGATTTTGCCGATTTATTAGGAGAGAAGAGGAGGAATTCATTTTGGCTTGTCCTTGACCTTTCCTTTGGTTTGTTCCTTGACCTGTGGTTTCCCCAACACACCTGGGACCCCCAACGTGACTGCTCAGCGGCTCTATAGCAATGGACAGAGTTTTTAAGCTCTGAGCTCTGTCTGGGACCAAGTTCAACAAGGCACAGACAGCTCAATATAAAAAAACCTTGTTACAAACAACAACAACAACAACAAAACCCTATCACGCAGTTCTGCCCTAAAGGTCACCTCCTTCTCTGATTCTCCTCGCATTCCAAGTGCAACAGTGAATGCAGAGTCCTGGGCGCCCCCACAAGCTTCCTGTAGAGTGGGATTTTGCAAAAAGAACCATGAAAGGGTTAAGAATTACATACTGTTTTCTCTATTTACTGAAAATATTTTGTTTTTAAGCTGTGTATGTGGTTGAAGGGGGTGTATGACTAGAAGGAAAATATTAGTATTACCACATGGAAAACACCCCAAGGGAAAACCACGAGAAAGACGTTTCAAAGAGAGTTTATGTTTCTCGAAGATTTGTATCTTCTCCTCCAAAGAAGTAAAGGATCTGTGAACAGGGATTTTCGAAACGTGCAAGACGGCTCCCTTAGTTCAAAGGAGAATGGAAGAAGGAGAGTCAACTTCAAGAGTTTTTTCCCCCCCAAAATCATATAAAAGGGGAAAAGAAAAACACTGAGCAACTTCCCCACCTGGAGACTTTAGGAATCCCACCAGGAGAACAAACTGCTTCAGAATTTGAGTCATTTGTGGTCCCGGCCCAAATGGCATCACGTGTTCCCGTCCATCTCACAGGACACAATTGCAAATTGTGCTCATGGCTTCGAACTCGCTAGTCTGGCTGCGGAACTGGAATGAAATGAGCCATTAGCAGACACGAACTCCGCGTCTGCTGTGGTCGAGGGGAGGAACGAGGAATCAGGCGGCAGGCACCTCGTTCTCAAGGAGCTGACCCCTCAGGTTGGGAAGATGACACACAGACTTGACACACTTCACACGAAAATGAGTATAAGAGCAATAATGTCTTCCCCAAGAGATATCCGTAATTGGGGAAAGGAAATTGAAAGGTCAGGATAAAAAACTGAACAGAATCACTTGGGATATAGCCTTTGGAGCCCATGTTTACTTGAATGACTAATCAATCACCCGGAAGACAAGGTCTTCGACTGGTAATATATAGAGACTTTAACTGGTGATGGAAGGAAAACAGCCAATGGGGTTCTGATCTGTGGTCTGGGGAAAGCAACCCAGTTCCTCACAGCTGATCCAAACTGTTCTGGAAACGGGGATCCCCACTGTTCAGGAAAGACACTCCAATGAGAAGATCTACAATGCGTCAGGCCTTGTGCTAAGCATTAGGGATAGAGGCTAACGGGTCCCAATTCTTACCTTCCATTTGGACATGAAATAATAGTAATATATTATATTAATATATTATATTAATATATTATATTAATATATTATATATATATAACATATTAAATTATATATATAATGTCCATTATATATAATATATATATATAATATAATATAATAATAATAATAATAATAATAAAACCCAGTTTTATCCCGAAATTATGATGCGATACGGTTAAGCGCACTACAACGGAATTTTATAGGAACTGCTTTGGCAGCCTGGTGGGGAACAGATCCCGACTAACCCACTTCCCCTAAATGACGCTAGACACACAACTCAATCACTCTCAAGCCTGTTCCTGCGGATACACCTGAGTACCCACCCCAGGTCTAACGCACAGTGACAGTCATTGTTCATCACTTTTATTTATTGTTAATCATTACTATGACACCTGGGCTATGTGAGCGAAGATCAGTCCAGCAGGGAGGACAGGAGCCCCAAACAAGGCTCGAAGCACTCGTCAGGACGGAGTATCCCGGTAGGACACCGAGTCCCACTTACAGAGGGGCAGCTGCCTCCTCCGCCAGCCCCGAGCGCTTCCCACTCCCCGGCATCGTGAGACCTCCCTGACCGCAAGCCCCGAGTCCCAGGGCGCAGGAGCCCACCCCGTGGCAGCCGGCGTCTCCACCCGCGATCCTGCAGCTGGACGCGGTCAGGTCCCACAGGTCTCCGCCCAGATCGCAGTCCCCGCCCGAGTCCGCCGTCCGCCCCGCACCTGGGCGGAGGTGGGATGCTCCCACCCGCCTCTCCCCCCGCCCAGGGTTGCCGGGGCGCCCAGAGGGCCTCCCGCACAAATCACACAGAGACGAAAACCGCCGAACGTCCCTTCCTGGAGCGACCTGCCTTCTCGGAGGTCGATGTGGCAGAGTCTCGCCTTCGTCTCGCGGTCGGGCTGGGCGCCAGGACTTCCGTAGAAACCGCCGTCTCTCAGCCCCGGCCACGCCGGTGTGCTCTGCGCAGGCGCGGAAGGGGGGGGGGTTGGCCCACCGCTTCCGCGTCCGCCCGGCGTCCGCCGGGTACTAGGGGCGGGGTCTGCGCGATGGCGTCACGGGGGCGGGGCCTCCGGCGCGGGAAGAGGCGGCGGGAGAATGGAGGTGGAGGAGAGCGGCGGTGGCGCGGGCGAGCGGGGAGCCCAGGACCCTGTCCCCGCCCCCAGCAAGGGCCCGGGCAGCGCCGGCCACTACGAGCTGCCGTGGTGAGGGCCCAGACCGTGAACGATGGGTGCTCTGGACTGGTGGGTGGGCGAGTTGGCGGGCCGTGGCCCCTGGGGACCCTCGGGGAGGGAGCTCGTTCTAAGGGGCCCTTAGCGGAGCAGGAGGCCCCGGGGGGGGGGGCATCGAGTAGATTCGAATTTGGAGAGGGCGAGGGACGAGCGTCGGTGGCCACGCCTGGGCTCAGGAGTGGCCTGTCTGAACTCTGGAAGCGGGGTCTTGGCGGGAGCAGAGCTCATTGTGGTCATAGCTGTCCCCCGGGACCACCACTCAGCGCCTGGAGCTGTGTCTGCGGCTGCTCCGACGGCGGGAAGCGTCCGATCGGTTCCGAACTCGGGGTTGTGTGCGGAAGGCTCATCCGGGGTCGCTGAGAGGAGCTGGTGACCTGGAAGGTGACCCGGAAAGTCACCTGCCGGGGGCACAGGTGTGGTGTGGACGATCCGCTCCGGTTCCACCGCCTCTGCGCGTGGGGATGGTTTGCTCTCCGCCCTCCGTGCGTGCCCACCCCTCCAGCCCACCCCTGTCCTGAGCAGATGCCTAAATGGGGCGCAGTGTAGCATCCCAGAACATCTGTAGCAGCATTGCTCGGTCCCCCAGCCACTAGCCCCTCAAGTCCACTGACAGCCCTAGAAATGCGGCTGGTCCCAGCTGAGATGGTCCCTGAGTGTACAAAACACAGCAGAGTTTCCGGACTTGGTATTAGAAAAATCTCATTCGTAATTGTTATGTTGATTCCGTGTGGAAAATGTTAATCTTTCAAATAGATCAGGTTCAAAAAATTATTTATTTTTTTTTTAAAGATTTTATTTATTTATTTGACATACAGAGATCACAAGTAGGCAGAGAGGCAGGCAGAGAGAGAGGAAGGGAAGCAGGCTACCTGCTGAGCAGAGAGCCCGATGCGGGGCTCGATCCCAGGACCCTGAGATCATGACCTGAGCCGAAGGCAGAGGCTTTACCCACTGAGCCACCCAGGCGCCCCAGGTTCAAAAAATTATTAGTAAAATTAACTTCCACCTTTTTTCTTTTTACTTTTTTTTTTTTTTAAAGATTTTATCTATTTATTTGACACACAGAGATCACAAGTAGGCAGAGGCAGGCAGAGAGAGAGGGGGAAGCAGGCTCCCTGCTGAGCAGAGAGCCCGATGCAGGGCTCAATCCCAGGACCCTGAGATCATGACCCCAGCCGAAGGCAGAGGCTTAACCCACTGAGCCACCCAGGCACCCCTCTTTTTACTTTTTTAAAAAATATTTTTGCTCATTTATTTGAGAGAGCATATGTGCATGTACGGGGTCTGGGGGGCTCGATCTCAGGACCCTGAGATGATGACCTGAGCTGAAGGCAGACGCCTAACCCACTGAACCACCCAGGCGCCCCTCTTTACTTTTTAATGGGGTCGCCAGCAGGTGTAAAATTACATATGTGGCCTGAGTTACATTTTTTATGCGTGACACTACTTTAAATGCTTAGAATATCTCATTATACAAAACACACTCTGCTGTCCTGAGCTTCCATTTGATAGGGAAAAAAGAAAGAACAAACCAGTAGATAATGGAGTATCTTTGATGGTGACAGGTGGTGTGCGGTAAATGACTCTGGTAGTCAGGGAAGGCCTTTGATGAGATGATATTTGAGCAAAGACGGGAGCTCAGGGAGTGAGCCAAGCGGCAACGTGGAGAAAGCTTTCAGGCAGGGGGAGCCCTTGTGGAGGCCCCAAAGGACCAGCATGTTTGCCATGTCCACGGTCTAGCTCAAATTTCCCGACATTCCTAGGTGCTGATTCCACAGCCCCGGGTTTCTGGAACCTGGTTAGCACTGTAGGAGGATCGTCTCAGCTCTCCGTGCTTGCTGGTAGGAAAGGCCTTTACAGCAAGAACCATGTCTCGCTCCTTTCTGTACTGTCCACGTTGCCTCCCCCTAAGATCTCGAGCTCCTTATACAGTGCTCGGCACCTGGGAAGGACTGAGTGTGAACAAGAAATGAATAGCAACAAGCACGCTCTGTCTGCTGGTCTTGGAGGGGAGCTCTTTATTCACCGCAGTGTGAGGCAGACAAGCTTTTTTGCGTGTAGCTGCTTCTGCAGCAGAACTCGGCCCATAGCCAGTGCAAGCTGAGGGTAAATCAGAGAGTGTCCTAAAGGGCAGAGGAAGTGCTGATGGTCAGATTGTTACAAATCGGCTGCCACTTCTGTTCTCCGAGCTAAAGAAAGTCATTTGCTCATAACATGGCTTGCTTATTCATTTGAAGGAGAGAGGTATGGGGACTCCTGGGCGGCCCAGGGGATGGAGCATCCGACTCGTGGTTTCGGCTCAGGTCGTGAATCTCAGGGTCATGGGATCGAGCCCCGACTTGGGTTCTGAGCTCACTGGGGAGTCCGCTGAGTCTGCTTGAAGGGTCTCTCTCTCTCTGCCTATCCCCCTATTCGTGTGTGTGCACGTGCTCTCGCTCTCTCTCTCTCTCTCTAAAACAAATCTTTGAGAGAGAGAAGTATTGATCTGAGTAAGCCACTAGCCCGTCCACTTCCCATAGCCTTGTAGGATCACAGGGCAGACCTGTGGTTACTGTCTAGCCAGCCCTGCTGGGCACCAGGCACCAGTCTGCAGAAACTGACAGGGAAGGGATAGGACGGGAGCTCGGCTGCCCCCGGGTCTGTCGGATCGGATGATGTCAGCGCCTTGTGTGCTGAGCTTCTGTTGTGATGGGCGCCCACGCTGCGGCCCAGCGTCACGGCGCTCCAGACGGCCCGCTCTGGCCCCTCTCCAGCAACAACAGGTGTGTCTCCGTGTCTCAGGTTTAAAGGCTTCGGTGTACAGTTCTTACGCACTTAGCATTTCCATTGGCGCTTGGGTTACCTCTTTAAGTTCAAAACCTGCAGCATTTACTGTGCTTAAATTGCACGTGTATAATTTTCCGACAGAGCCCTCAGGAAGGGCCTTTAGCGCTTTGCTCCTGAGCCCTGACGTGAAAATAGTCACATCTTTACGCATTTTCTTTCTTTTATTTTTTCTTTATGCGTTTTCTTAAAAACAGGGTGGAAAAATACAGGCCAGTAAAGTTGAATGAAATTGTTGGGAATGAAGACACAGTGAGCAGGCTGGAGGTGAGTGGGGTTTTTTTTGTTTTTTTTTTTTTTTTCTCGGAGATGGTCTTAGGTCGTATTATGTGGTTTTGACAAGCTCGAGGAAGGCATTTGGAGGAAGACGGCCAAGGTAGTGAGGGACGGGGCGGGCCACAAATGCAGAAGAATTGAGGGATTGCGAGCTGGTCAGTTTGGAGAAGACCAGAAACCATGGTGGCTACCCTCACGTGTTTGAGGCGCCTGCTTCTCGGAGAGGGGTTCTCTGACCTATGGTTCTAGAGCCGCGATGGCAGACTTTTTCCGTAAAGGCTGACGAGCAGGTATCTTAGGCTTTGCAAACCCTATAATGGCTTTGTCTAGTATTCTTAATTTTTTAAACAATTCTTTGAAATCATAAAATCAGGGGCATCTGGGTGGCTCAGGGGGTTAAGCCTTTGCCTTTGGCTCAGGTCATGATCTCAGGGTCCTGGGATCGAGCCCTGCATCTGGCTCTCTGCTCGGCGGGGAGCCTGCTTCCCCCTTCCTCTCTGTCTGCCTCTCTGCCTACTTGTGATCTCTGTCTGTCAAATAAATAAATAAAATCTTTAAAAAAATAATCATAAAATCATTCTTAGCTAGGGGGCTTATAAAAACAGGCCCTGGGGTGCCTGGGTGGCCCAGTCCATTGAACATCTGACTCTTGATTTCGGCTGGGTCATGATCTCGAGGTCAT